GTTAATGGTATTAGAGGTGATAATTGGGGAAGCTATCTTGATAATGTGTAAGATAGTTCAAGTGTTTGTTCAATCCTCTTTGGAGAGTGTAGAATTTTAACATGAATGACAGTTCAGAGGATTCCCTTTCAAGTGCAGATGTAAAAGGTCTGTAGCAGAATGCAGGTGGTTAAGTCATTGAGAGAGTGTCCTTTCTGGTTAAAATGGCAAGAAACTGTTTTTTCTTTGTGATCTTGTCTGATATCTGTTTTGTGGGCATTAATCCTAATGTACAAACACTTGAACTATCTTACCGTTCGTGGCCAGTATCAGATCAGATCATAAATTAGTATTGATATCAATGATATTGAGACTTAGTACCAAGTGCAGAGAACTAAGATCTATGACATGGACAAAATGAAAGAACCAAACGTCATCAAAAAGAAAAAGGCATGCAGAAAAACATTACATCCTTGGTGGAAAAAAATAAATGTTAAATAGAGGTGAAGAGTTTCAAACATGCAATTACTGAGAGCCAAACGGAAGTGGGTCTGGCCCACGAAAGCTCATCATCTAATAAACCATCTTGTTAGTCTTTAAAGTGCTATATAGTCCTGTATTTTGCTTCAGCTACCCCAGACTAACACGGCTACATTTCTATCATAATAAATATGAATAGCAATAATAGTAGTGGCAGACTGGGCTTTTCTGACCACATTATAGCTATGAAATTAGCCGTTCGCTTCTACCATATTGCACTTTTATCTATTCTCTAGCCACATTCTGTTTTCTTCCCCGGATCACCAGTCTAAGTTAAGTTAACACTGCCTGTCTCATTTCCCTAAACAGGCTACATCTAGACTGGCATGATTTCCCGCAAATGCTTTTAACGGAAACGTTTTTCTGTTAAAAGCATTTGCGGAAAAGAGCGTCTAGATTGGCACGGATGCTTTTCTGCAAAAGCACTTTTTGTGGAAAAGCGTCCGTGCCAATCTAGACGTGGTTTTGCGCAAGAAAGCCCCGATCGCCATTTTCACCATCGGGGCTTTTTTGCGCAAAACAATACCGCATTGTCTACACTGACCCTCTTGCGCAAAAGCATTTGCACAAGAGGGCTTTTGCCCGAACGGGAGCAGCATAGCATTTCCGCAAGAACACTGACAATCTTACATGAGACCGTCGGTGTTCTTGTGGAAATTCAAGAGGCCAGTCTAGACACAGACATATTGAGACTAAGTGCATCACAGTGGTACCTTATCTTAGTCATCTCTTCCTATGGCAGATACTGGCACCAGCCAAAATGTATCTAGAAAAGCTTTTCCTGATTTTGGACATGTCCATTTAGTGTCCAGCTGAGTTTAGAGAATATCCTTCTTTTAGAGACTGTTCAACAAAAACTTCTGTGATTGGTAGAAGGAAATGGGGGAGGGGCTAAGGAAAGGGGATGTTTCAGAGGGTCTGGTCAGTAAGGCTATGTAAATGAGGCAAATCGAAAGTGCAAATGAAGTGCAGATTTAAATATCTGCACTTTCTATTTGCTTCATTACATTCCTCTTTCGAAAGAGAAATGTAAGTTTAGACGTGCTCCTAAGGCTGGTTCAAATTTTTTGCTCATGTTTGAAGCTTTCCTAGAAGAATCTTTCCTCAGCTGAGCCAATCTCTCTCAGTAATGCTAAAGGATTACTATTTTGCCATTTTAAAGAACTTTAGTGATTTCTGTGCCCCGATCCTGTAGTGAGAGCCACACAAATTGATCCCTGCCCTATCCTCCCAAACTACACTAGAGTTGCCAGGTGTCTAGTTTTGAACCAGACAGTCTAGTATTTGAGCTTTCTGTTCGGAGAAAAAAATTGAGACAATATTTGAACCAGACAGTCTAGTATTTGAGCTTTCTGTTCAGAGAAAAAAATTGAGACAATAGATGTCCTGTATTTTTGTTGAAACCATCTGGCAACCCTAAACTACACTGAAGTCAAATACCCCATGTAAATCTGCCTGACTGCATTCCATTGCCCTTTTGATTTAAATTTGGGGAGCAGGAAACTTTACTTTACTTGTACCTTTGTACAGTGCCTAGAATAAATAGGCCTCTAAGCACTTTGTTAATAAACATATTCAAAGATTGAGACGAGTGCCTAAGTAACAGCTCCAAAAGCCAGTCTTGTGTACAGAGCAGGTACAGCATGAGCAGTAACAACACAAGATAGTTTTCCAGAAATGCCCTGTGCCCACAAAAGCTCATGATACCATCTATGTGTTTTGTTACTTTACCAGACCATTTCTTGTTTTTTAAGTTTATCCTGTACAGACTAACTTGGCTACCCCCTGAAGCTTTTGTTTAATCTTGACCAAGTAGGACAATTTATCAGTGGGCTGGTCACAATTTTTCCCTTGAGCCCCCGTTTTGTCAAATTTTAAACTAAACGACTTTCTTTTTTCAGAGAGAACCTGCTTTCCTAACCCCCCTCTCTCCCTCCTCCAAAAAAATATGAAAACCAAACAAGAGTTGTTTGTCAGTTTTGGTCTAAAAAAGTTCTTGGTTTGGGGGTGGTTTTAAGCAAATGATTTGAAACATCACATGATTATCACGTATTGCATCCATAAGTATTAACAAACATCATGTTTATTTGAAAGCATCAATGACACATTGCATTTGAATTTTATTTGTACATCAGAATAGCAACATATTCAGTGAGGTACTGCTATTTGCAGTGTTAACTTTAACAAGGGAAAATGCTGTTTGAAAACAACTGTAATATCATACACAAAGGTAACGATGCACCTGTGATGCACAGAACATTTTTGGTGTGTACTGAAACATATGGGCGGCTGCATGGCATTAACTGTTTAAAAGGGGTTGAAAAAGTGTATGTAGGGGTCTTATCTCCACATCTGTCTGCCCCCCAGCAGTTCTGTCCACCCAGCCTCAGGTCTATTCCTCCTGCATCTCCTGGAATTCTTCACCCCAGTTTTCCAGGCCTGGAGGAAAAGGGAGGGGGTGCTGCAGGGAGCGCCTCTTGTATCCCTACCCAGGCCTGGTGTTGCTGGGATGGGGAGGAGCAGAGGTGCTGGCTGCCCCATTGCTCACAGGAGGGGTGGGAGAAGGAAGGATCTAAGCTGCGGGAGTCTTTCCCATCCCCCTTTTGCATCCTCTCAGATTGGTATTTGGTTAAGGGAAGGAGGAGAGGACTCTCTCTGCTTCCTCCAGATGCTCAGATTAGCTGCACTTCACCAAAAGTGGGGAAAGCAGCCTCCTTAAGTGGTACCAAAAACCTGAGCATCTCAGCAAGCTGGCTGGATTCTTAGCCATTTCATTTCCCAGGCCTGCAACCTGTTTTGACCTGGCTCGCTTTAAGTACTGGTAGTTCTCATTTGCACTGAGAAGGAATGTGCACACAACGCCCACATAACGAGACTATGATAACAGGTACAAAGCACTTGCTGCCTTCATAGCACTTCACGCCTGTGAGCAAATTAATCCTCCCAACACCACTGTGAGGTTCATAGAAAAACACTATTATTCCCCATTTAGAGATGAGGAAACTGAGGTGACTTGTCTAATGCCACCAAGCAAATACACACAGAGCCCAGATTAACATTCAGCCTCACCCGTGTCTTCATGTAGATGTCCTAAGTGGTTTATTTGACACTCCTACTCACTCTAAGGGTTTGCTCCAAAGCTCAGTGAGGTCAAAGAGAGACAGTCTCAAGAAAATTGATTCCTGGCAAAAAGAATGTGAGGGCTGAAATCATCTCTGGTGTAACTCCATTGAGATGAAACTGGCCTCGAGGTTTAATCTGGTGAGGGGA